AGAGGGTTCGCCGGGGTCTCAGGGGGCCTTTCTTTGCAGAACTTTCCTCCTCCTCGGCTCGTGGTTCTCTGGCGGCAGCGCCGTGACGGAACTTTTAGCTCCAAACTGGTTTTCCTTGTTTAACAGTTCGGGAAAAAGAAAAAAAGAGGAAAGTTTTGCTCTTCACGTGCTCTGGCAGTTACGTAGACACATGCCTAACCTTGCGCTGATGGGAAGTTTCATCCTAACGTCGCAGTAACATCGTAATGTTATGTAATAGTAACGTAGTAGTCACTGATTTTAATGAGGTTTTGAAAAGGGAGAAAACAAAAGCTGCTTTTGAAAAAGCAGCTGCCTAATTCGCGCTTTGCATTTCCATGCTGCGAATGGAATATAGATGAATGGAATATATATAGCTGTAATGAAATACATAGAAATATCTGTATATTTCTGCTTCTCTGTCCGAAACCTTAGTCTTCTGGCAAATTACTTTTACTAGGGCAAAGCACAGGCAGCGCGAGAGATTCATTACCGTGTGACAGTGAGCCTTTAAACTCGAGTGCGGCGTGCGCTGACGGCAGGCCTGCTGCTGCGCGTTTCGTGGCTCCCGGCTCTGGCGGGCTGCGGGGTGCTCGAGTTTTCTGGGGGCTCAGCAGCTGCCCCTCCTCGCCTGTGTGGAGGGGCAGTTTGACCTGGTGCGGGTATTCCAGTGGTTGCCATAAACATCTCAATGTCAGCTGCCACAGCAAAAAAAAAAAAAAAATGCGGCTTAGGGTTATCGTTAGAAAATTAGGCATGGACGTGACACTGCGGCATGTCACACCACACCACGTTTTTAAAAGGTATAGTACTTTCCTGACTTTTGGCAGCTTACGAAGAATGCTTACCTGGTTATAATTCTGAGCAAATGTTAGTGCTTGCCTCAGTAAAGGAAAACAACTGTTGTACTTTTGCTGTTTTTACCAATATGTAAGTATTGCTTGCATATGTAGACTGAGAGGCAGACTGAAGAATATAATTATTACACTCCAGTAGGTCTTTTAATCTCTTGTCCTGTCATCTTAACTCACTTATGATTTTCATTTTCTTCTCTTTTCTCTTGACCTTGTCCTTTTTCTTTCCTCATTACCTTATCTACTTACATGACTTATGCACTTTATTCACCCCTCTCTGCATATGAGCACCTAATATGGTTCCTAGTGAAGTCAGTGAAGCAAGTCCCATTAATTTGAAGAACTGTAGAACTGAGGTGATTTTCCTCTCCTCCTTCACCACCCGTGGCTTTTCCTAGCCCATAAGTTTTGGGTTTTTTTTTCTCTTGTGCCTAACCACAAATTCCCTTGTGCCAAAGAAACTGGCTGGTTTTGTTTATCACATCCAGAAGATTTCTCTCTGTAAAAGGACCAAGGAATACTTTCCATGCTCCGCTGATATGAAATAATATTGTAGAGATAACTGTTATCTCATGGAATAGCTTTTAAAGATCATCTCCAGGAGCAGCCTATTTAAATGCTGCTTGTTCTCCATGCAAGCTTCTCCCATGGAGCTCTGGAGGAACACAGTGATCAAGGAATACACTGAATGCAGTACCACAGCAGTTACAGTGGGGTAGTCTGAAACCTATTTCACACCAGGGTGATGAGGTTCCACTAAGAGGAAAGATACCTCGGTGATGTAACTTGATCTGCCAGTGCTCAGAAATGTGTTTCGTGTCTGTGCCCCGTTGCATTAGCACTGAACTAGCACATACTAGATTCTGAACTGTGCTTGCTGAACTTGCGAAGAGTGTTAGGAGGAAGGTTGTGGGCTCAGCACTAGTCTTGGGAAGAGAAACTTTGCTTAAGTGGTCATGAAACTGTTGTTGTAAAATGGGCAGAATGAGACTAGAACGTTGTATTTGGATCTGGTAGTATTTGTTACTTTAGATACGCAGCTGCGCTTGAGGTACATACTGTCAGCAAGCAGAGTCATGATGTTAGCCTGACTCACTCACGTTGCACCTTCTACTTCGCAAGAACAATCAGAGGATGGATGTCAAGACTTGCTACGCTTTATGGACTCCGAATGCCAGTGACCTCTGAAGTGTTGTACACTATCATATTGTACAAGGACTCTCACCCTTGTTTTACTCCAATGAACTTACCTCAGTTTAAGACAATTTTTTGCCACTTATACTGGGGAGGGTGTGTAGATATTTTAAAGTATTCAATACTGCTGAGAGGTCCCTATTGCTGTCACACCAAAGTGTCACATGTTGGGTAACAAATGCTCTATTTTTGATGGGATCTGCTACAACACATGCACCTTGAAGCAGAAAAGGACCTTCCTTTTGGCAGTTCCCTGTGTTGAGATATATACGGATATAAAAAAGGAGAGCGCGAGCCTTAGGTCACCTTAGAATACACAGATATCAGAGCAGAGGTTAGCAGGACAGTGAGAAGCTACATGGTGTCAGGAGATCAAACATTTAATAATGCAACATGTTTTCTTGGTGTTGGGAGGTGGTTACTCATAAAACAACGGTCATGCTTTCTGTAACCAGACAGAGAAGCAATGGAACTGGCAGAACAGAAGCAAAGGGTTAGTATTGGTGAGCAAGTATACAGAGCAATTGGGAAGTTTGGAAAACAAGGAAAAGTGAGCTATCAGTATGCATCATATATTGGCAAAAAATGATGCTTTCTGTCAAATAGCATAGAATATCATGTTTCCAAACCCAGCAATTTATCAGGACAGCGGAGTGCTTTTGCATAATAACAGTTGTTAGGAAAAACTTGCTTTTGAAACTCTAAACAAATAAAAATAGTGTCTGCTATCGGAAGATGGGTTTCAAGCTGTAGTTGTAGCGTTCTGAAGAAAATAGAGTTTTCATTGTGAAATGCAAAATATTGTGCAAAAAGTGATGCAGGATACATTTGGATTTCATTCCGATTTATAGAACAGAATACTTTCTGTTTTCTTTTTAAGGAAAGAAGGATTGTCCAAGTGTGGAAGATGTAAACAGGCCTTTTACTGCAATGTGGAATGTCAGGTATGGTAATGCAATTATAGGGTGAGGGTGCGGGGGGGAAGGAGGGAGGGGTTGCTGAACTCCATTTCTTGTTTGTGTGGCATTGATAGTCTCTAATTGTCATTATGGTTAATAGTAGTCCAGTCAGTTTTAGCATCCCGCAGATGCTGATCGTGGAGTTGTGCATTGGACAATTACAGGATTTGGACATGGTCTGCATGAGTCTTTCAGGATCAGTAGCTCCAGGGCTTGGTACCACTGAGACTTTGATTAGAGCTGCCTGTCAGCCCACTAATTATGTCTGTATTACTTCTTTCTTTAAGCACAAACCAGATAATTTAACATTAGCTCGCTAAACTGGTAAGAGAGTCTGTGTCTAATGGAAAAATCAAATCACTAAATAGCTATCTTAAGGGGGTTTTGTTGGTTTTTATTTAGAATCTTTGCAAATATTTTGGGTGGCCACAGCTGACAGTAGTCATAACCATTTGAAACCTACCTAGCTTTCTCCGTAGCTCACTCATTCTGGCAACTTTTGTTCTTTTTGTATTTTTGTTTTTTAAAAGCCCCTGAAAATAGAATATAAGCGTACACTAAAGCAGAGCAATATGAAGTCATCCAAAACATTTGCATGCAGTTTTAATTCCATTTTTACTTCAAACTGGCATAAGCACCTCAAAAAAAAAAAATTTTTGCCAGAACTAGTATCTAGCCTTTGTGGGCTGTCAACTTGATATGGAAGAATTATCCAGTTTACGTGTGAAAAACTCAACTGGATTGCTAGCTAAATAACGTAAGCTATGTAAGATCTGTGGTGCTGGGCACAGAGTATGGAACAGTGCTCATGAAGGATTTGAGTCACCAAAGGTCTGGCATGCAACTATGTGTTAGCTATAAATAATCCAAACCTTCTCCTACATGGGAGCGTGCTGTTGAGTGCGTGGGTTGCATGCAAAGTATTCTCCATTGTCATTATCTGGATGGAGATGTTGCAGTTTGTGCTGTTCAGTTCCCAAGCACTTTGGAGATGGCTACCGCTTTTATTTCAAGGATATATCTTATCCTCCCATTGCAAAAGTTGCAAAGCGAGCCTGGCCTCCCCTTAGTTTTCCTTCTATGGCCTCCCTAGATTCCTGCTTTCCCACAGTGTCTTAGTGAATTGTGGGTGAATCAAATGGCCTTTTGGTTTTGAAGCACCAGGAGGACTCAAAATGCTTAAAATAAATAAGTTTTTTACAAAATTTGCAATAGTTCATAGAATATTGAAAGATTGACAGCCAGCAGTTGCTGGGAAGAAAGAGAACACTTACTGTGTGAGCATTCTTAAGGCTCTTGAGAGAAATCTGGATGAGATTTAAAGACAGTATAGAAAAAACCCATGATTCATTCATGAGAAATGCTTATCTGTAAGAAATGTTTCCATATGACATTATTTCTTAGGAAGCTTTTAACTAGATGAGAGAAGGAGATGCTTGAACAAAGCAATTTACTGGCTGTTTAGCGCTTTTTATCTGAGATTGTGAGTTTCTTCTCTTACCATATAAAATTCACAATGGTTTATGAAGCAGGTAAGCAAGATTTACTGAAGTAGGAAAGCTCAGTGATTTGTGCCAGGAAAAATAGCAAGTAGATATCATGGTGGAAGTAGTAGAACTTATTTCTGCTGATCCATGGTCCTTTGCTTTTACCTCCAAGTCCCTTCTTCAGTCCCTCCCTCAGTGTCCTGACTTCTAGCCTTGACAAAGTTTATGCTTTTATATTTAAGAACAAGGAGGGTTTTTTTCTCTCTTTCCCCTGGGTAAAGCCCTGTACAGGTATTGCTTTCTTAATTTGATTCTTTTTTAAATTTTTTTTTTTTTTTGTGGTCAGAATACTCTTTCTCTAGTAGGGCATATTCCGAGAATAAAAAACTGAACTGCTCAAACTGAGTGTCCTTAAGACTGCAGGAGGTGATGCTCAGCAAAAGCCTGTCTGTCTGATAAGTTAATGAATTAAAATCTTTTCTACCTGTTGGTGTGTAGTATGATGCTTTAGATACAAAGGCATTTTTTAGATGTTGTGACGTCTAGACAATAGTATGACAAGCACAGGTACCAGCACTTCACTCTTACTGGTGGTATGCATATGGCTTTTGACTCCCTAGTTGATATAACGTTAACTTCCATGTTTTGGGCCCTTCTGAGTCTGATGAAATTTATGAATGTTGCTGAGATTGAATTCTTTGACATTCTTTCAAAGTTACCTTCAAGCATAATATTCTCTAGAAACTGGTCTCCACTGACTGTACGTGCTGCACAGACAATCTGCACTGCATCTTCATCCCTGTCTTGTTCAAAGGCACTTTTCAGCAGTTCAGCAATTCTTTGTCAAAGCCAGAAAGGACATCTGTGCCTTGATACTGAACTTGTAACACTGGGATGTACAGTAAATGTGTCCCTTTTGCCTCCATGGATGTGAGACTTCTTCATGCAACACTGATAAAAGGACAGGGCTGTACTTGAGAATTGTGATGGCATTGTTAATTTGATTTTTTTTTTAAGTTAATTTTCTCTGTAAATCCATGTTGTCTTTGCTCAGTTCAGCTAAAAATTACATGTACCTGACAAGGACATGGTATGATTTCATATGTTGGTTAGTACCTTGTTAATATAATTCAGTTTGACAACTGTTTTATCACATGAAGTATACTGTATGGGATAGAAAACCGAATTTTTTGAGCTTACTCTTTTCTTACTTAAAGACTTGCTATACCACAATTCATAGGAATTCTTTCTAGTGGTGGGGAGAGATGGATCAGAAGGAGACAAGAGAAGGGTGCCAAAGTGTGCAGCAGGTAACAAATTTTTTGGATGTCTTTTTCAGAATTAAGGATTTTATAACTGCAGACACCTTCCTCTCTAGTGCGTTTCTGTTCAATGAGGTTCCTTTTCTCTTTCAGAATAATGTGATTACTGAAAGTAAAGTTAGTGACGCTGCATGTATTTTCCACTCTGTTGAGCCATATAGTACCCTTGCCTTGAGGTTCTTAAAATACTTTCCAAGCGTTTAATGAATGAAGCCTGACAGCAGCCTTTGTGGCATTTCTGTTTTTGCAAATGGGCTATAGGTACACAAAGATACATTGACTTGCTGAAGATCCCCCAAGTGGTAAAAGAGTGCATCTCCTGCCATACGGCCAGGTGTTTGATGCATTGACCAAGTCCTGCTTTGCAGTATAATTCCTTTGCCCAGGTCGCTGGGAAAGGTGGTGTCACACTGTAGTGTGAGGGACTGAACCCAGGGGAAGACAAAGTCTTGCAGTGATATAGTGGCTGATTTGTTTAGGGCTCTCTCTATACACACACATATGCACGCATGCTGGCCCTGGCACAGTTCCCTTAGTGCTACAATGCGTCTTTTGCCAGTTTTGGTTTATTATTTTGCTTTTAAGATAGGTAACCTTAAGTTTGACCTATATTAAGCTGGATGTTTGCATAGGCGTAGATTCAGTCTCGGATGTGGGGCACGTGAGAGTGGAAGTTGTCTTCACTGCCTGTCCTTGCTGCCTTGAATGTTTTGTGGGTTGGTAGGATCTAGTCTGGGTTTGCTGCGTCTTTCGTTTCCCAGCCCCTAATCCAGTTCTTCTTTTAAAAGGGTTTGTGATTTCCAGCTGATTCATACCGTTCTGCTCTCCACTATTGCCTCCTCAAAGCACAGGCCTGTTATTATAGTAGTGGCTTTCAGACCCCATCTGCAGCTGTTCGGGTCTTGACTTCTTAAATTATAATAATTTTAGTCAAACAGCAGGAGACCTGTGCTCATTTTTTCTCCTCAGAAATTAGCTGCTGAAACACTCTGAAGAGAAATGTTTTAAGAGGGTTACGTGGTTGCAATTGTGGAACTGGTGAACTTGAACCAGCTACTGGAGCTCCTCTTTCTGTTATTACACATAGCTATTATTTATCCCAGACAGAGTGGAGATCAGCTAGTCAAAGTGCAGAAAGAGATGTTTTTGTCATGACTTTCCATATTTGAAATATATTTAGAACAAAATATTTACGGGTTTTTCTTAACATGTTGTGTTAGAGTGCTGTAGTTGGTATTTCTGGAGTAGGGGAAACACGTATTTTTAACAAGCTAGTAAACCTCAAAATGTAGTTGTAGACCTGGAATCAGCATCAAGCAGATGTATTTTAAATGGGACCGTGTAGAAATTGCCCGCTCCTCTTTGGTAAGCTGTAGAAAAAAAAATGAAATTCTTGCTGTAATGATTCTGCACAAGAGGAACCTGATGCTGCAAGACCCTGGTTAAGATTGCCTTGGGGAAGTGTCTGTCCCCCTATCCAAAAACTTTCTCCATGTGATTTTCTTTGATAAATGTCTCCTGTGGACCTTTTGAACATTAACCCATGGAAGTCAAATGCCCTCTATGGCCCAGCATTCAGTAAATGATGGTAGGGAAGGATGGCTGTGAAGATGTGTGAAACTCTTACCTTCACTGCTTGGTGAAGGACTGTATCAGAGAACTTTACCGGATAATGTCAGACATCAGAAGTTGCCTCACTGAAATTCGATTAAGGAGTTGGATGCCATTTGAGCATAATTGGGCCTTAAACTTTGAGGACGTGGGCTTAACCCCTACTCTGGCTTGCCCAGCATTTCTGTCTGGTATTTGCCTGTGTTTCTTTTTGATCAAGTGAAATACAACAGAAATTTTACATCCTGTTGAAAAAGTCCATGTGAGGAAGGAGGTGCGAGGACATTTGTTTGGGCTTGAATCTTCTTTTTTTGAGTGTTACATTTTGTTGTTTGGCTTGGGTTTTTTTTTTATGCTGAGCTATATGTCAGTGTTCTGGGAATTAATCCAGTAGTCCTGGACGGTGGAATTGTTCTGAAGAATTTGGTGGAGAAGATTGTTTCCATGCTTTGATGTGAAAAGCATAAGCTTTAAATAACTTCCCTTCCAAAAATGTTGTCACTCACTTCTAAATGAAGGGAAAAATACTGCGGATGTAATGAAAATAGGAAAAAAAAAATCATTAATGTAGCATTAGGGATTCAACTAGAACAATGCTACCTGTTATAATTCAAACTACTTAGAGAAAAACATGGAAAAGAATGCAAAATACAGTCCTGCTGTTATCGCAGGGAAAGCTGCTGTCACAGTGTTTCCATCCCAGGTATTACTCAGTCATCAGTACTCTCTTCTTGTGGTGTTTCAGGCTTTTATCTCATTTCACACAATTCAGCCATGTCTTGTCCCTTTAACCTCCCTACTAGTTCATATAACTCAGTATGATTCTGCCTGGGGAAAGATTTTAATTAACAATGGGTAAAGAATGAAGGGAACAAACGGATTTTTAAAAACACTGCTTTGAGACAGGCACGTGATTTTGCATTTTGATTTTTTTGTTTTATCAGGTAATATCTCCTGTTTATTTAACCGGTGTGTATGGATGTGGGTCCTACAAAACTTCAGGTTCTGTGCCTTTGCTTCTTGCACACCCAGCAATCACGCTGATGCTGGTGGGCGTCGTGGGTGTGCAAGAAGGGGTGAGAGATGAGGTCTCCCTCTGTCTCTCTTCTTAGCATTTAGCCTGTGGATTCCTAAGCAAAGGCTATCGGGAATTTTCCAGAAAAAGGTCTTGAGGCATACATAGGAAACAGGCCTCTTGGGTGACGCATTTTGTAGTGTGACAGCTGTAGGAGAGTTGGGAGTGCAATTTCACATGACATGATTGCAGTGTAATGTACTATTTTGGTTCTCCTGGTCTGTATTGCCACGTTCTCTTAGAACATTTACACTGGAACTTATTTCAAGCAGCCTGTATGTAGGTTTTTTTCGAAGTACCATACTGAGATATCAAGGACAATGAAGTTGACATTGTGAGGGGTTGAATACCCTTGCAGTGTTCCACTGCTTCAAATCCTGCATGAGGCTGGGGCGGGTGTTCATCTTTCTTTTCCTAATAAAATAAACTCCTAAAGCTGCCCATGCCCAGGGCAATTAAAATGGCGATTTTCAATGGAAGAATTTTTTGGTGTACTGACTCTGAAATTAGTGATCTCAGCTTTTGTTTTGTTCTGCAAAACCTGTAAATAAGTGGACCAGCAAAGGCAGGAGGCACTGGGGGTACTGATTCAGCTGAGTATTTGAGGTGCCTTGAGTTGTCCTATGTGGCCTCCAGCTACAGCTCCCACAAGACCTGCATCTCCTACTAGACCTGTATCATACCTACTGGTCCTACGTAGATGTTTTAGATAGCATAGGGTATCTCAAATGGCTCTTGCCATCAGTGGTTAGGCAGCTGAGGGAAACTCTGTGTTTCTTCTGTTCCTGCCACTCAATCACTCTGATAGGCTATACTGAATTTTTTAAAAATTATTTTTAAATTTTTTTTTGAGTGGGCTAACACTGGGTCTGTGATATTGGGTGAATCACAGTAAGGGGAATTAAGAGCTTTCCGGAGGCTGCAAAAAGGTTTTCAAGTTTTCACTTTCAATCAATTATAAATTTGTGGGATTTGTTTTGATTTCTTTCCTCTGCTACTGTTTTCCACCAGTTTAAATCTGGTCTGAAAACAAAACTTGATGGTCCCTATACAGGCAGAACACTATAGGGATGTTCTAACACACTGCTATAAATGTGTCTGGGATGAGATCTCAAAATAAATAACTGCATTGCTTGAATATAGAAATAAGAATATTTCCATATTTGAATAAATAAATAAAATGAAATTTGATGCAGTCTGGGGACAGCCCATGCCAGGCTCTGTGTGCCAGTGCACAGAGTGTTAATCTGTGATTCTGTGCTCATCTTTGAAAGTTTCTGTTGCTTTGGAGGGAGTCTGTAGAGGGCCAGGAGCTAGTGGCTTGTGCCATCACTCTGAGTGTTATTGTATGTTGAGCTAGGAATATGCTACACATTCTTAACTAAAAGGTGTTTGTCTTTATTCATGTGTTTTCATTGCCCAGCTGTACTCTTATTCTACAATATTTAAGGAAAAAATCTGGTAATTCTATTCAGTAGGTCTGGTTTTGACCTTACATATACCGATTCTTACAGTGATTGTGAATCCATTGACTTCAGACACATTACTCCCGATTACACCAGGGTCATCTCATAATGAGGGGCCAAGGTATTAAATGGAAATGAACCCAATAAAGCCATCAAGCTCAGAGCTACTCTGTCCTCACATGCTTGATCTGAACAATAAGAACTGGTGATTTATAAATCATGTTGTCTGTTTGCTTCTTTGTCATTTAATTCTTTTTTCCGTTGAATAAATGAAGATGTTCTGACCTTAACTCATCCCTTGTGAATTTGTTTGAAAAAGCAGGATAGCTGTATCCCTTAAATGTGACTCAAGCTTTTGTTCAGATTTAGTGAGTGTCATCTTATTTTTTTTAAAGGAAACACATTTCACTTGACCTCTAGGATCTGGCAGGACTTGCTGCATCCTCTTTTTCATCACTTTATCTTCGTGGCTTTTTTTTTTTTTTTTTAATATTTTTCTACATTTTCAGAAGGAAGACTGGCCAATGCACAAGCTAGAGTGTTCCGCCATGTGCGCTTTTGGGCAGAACTGGAATCCCTCTGAGACTGTGAGGCTAACGGCGAGGATCCTTGCCAAACAGGTGAGCAGGAGGCTAGACTTCGGAGGTACGTTCCTACTCTGGGTGCCAGGGAAGGCAGGAAAATGAAAATTGACCGACAGTAACTGTCCCTGCAAAGCACATACATACTAGCTTCCTGTGTACAGACGGGTGTAATATAGAGCATGAGCAGCTGAACGAACTGACCATCAGATTACTGCAGCAGTGCCAGGGCCACCATAGTCCAGCTGGAGGCTTTTGGGGGAAGATGGCAAAAGGCTAGTGAGGTTTTAAGCTGTGTAGCTGTAACTTATGGTCAAGGTACTGTTGAACAGAGTCTGGAAAAGTTTACTGATAGTTTCACAATGTGCATGGTGTTTCAGCCTCCATTCTGGTAGATTGGAGCTCTTGGTTACATGTGTGGGCTAGCACCAAGGCCGCGTTGGTGAAGAGAAAGAAGAATGATACTTGGTACATGTGGTTAAATTCTGAGGAATGCTCCTAGTGTTGCATGTCTGCAGACACTGACAACTTTATGAAGCAGTTGCTAGTTGTACTGTTTTTCAGCTATAACTGCGTAGCATTGTGTAGTATATAACTCCCAGTACATTTGTGAGTCAAGAACACCTCTGAGGTATTCAGGTTTAAATGTTTACGATTACTGGAGTTACCTGGTAAAAAACAGAGATTGAGAGAGAAATCTCAGGCCCTTGGTCTTTGGAGAAAAAGAATGTTGTTATTAAGGAAATAAGGTTGCAATGTCAACCTCCAATTCAGTGTTCCCTAACTATATGGATACTGAGGATAACACAAGTGCTTACAGGGAGGGGAGAGGATTCATGAGTTTCAAGGTTGTTATGCTGTGTATCTTTGTAGAGCTCTAAACTCTCTCCGCAAAAACAAATCCTCTTTGAAGCATATTTGTGTGATTGAGGTCTGCTTATGTGACAAGGGCAACCTGGATACTGTATGTAGTGAGGATTTTGGTGGCCTGCTGGGAAGGTAGCTGCATACTTGCTCTGTGTGTAGATGTCTGTGTGAATGTATTTGTGTGTGACTTAATTAAAGCGTGGTTTAGTGGTGATCTACAAACAAAATCGAATGTTTAATGACAAAAAGTCATTGGAATAAATTTGTGCTTTTATCGCTTACAGGGAGGGGGGAGAACCCTACATGTCATATAAAAGCTAAATATGCAAACCATAGTCCCTGAACCTCAGCTGCTGGGCCACCTGCAAAGCCATATTTAATGGCCAAGATTACAAAGAAGTGGCCTTAGGCCAACAATGGAGCATTGCTTTTGAACTCTGTCAACAGTCAGTTTATTCACTTTCCTCAAAGCAAAGCCTGTCTCCTGCCTGCTTGCTATTGTTAGCAGCTTTCTGGGTGTCTAGAACAAAGCAAATGACATATTTAAAGTACTGTTCAGTTTATGTATATAAATTTGATAGGAGTTAATCTTTGGCTGCCTAATTTGGTGCAGAGAGAGTATTTCTATGGCTTTACTAAGGGTAGTCAATTTAACTCATTGCTGTTCATCAAATTCTATAAATTCCATACAGTGTGGATTTGGGTTTGTTTTACAGATGGGAGTTCCCAGCTTATGAATGAGTAGACAAAACTGCCTACTTAAAATATTAAAATATTTTCTTGTTGTTTTTTTCCCCGTATTGCTAGAAAACTCACCCTGGAAGAACACAGTCAGAGAAACTGCTTGCTGTAAAAGAGTTTGAATCGCGTAAGTAAAAAAGGCTTGCAGGTAAACAGAGGCAGTTATCTATATTCATGATCTGCTTTACCCCCTGGCCCCCCCTCCATCAAAACCTTTCAGAGCATCCCACTCCTGTTGGAGAAGGGGAGTAAACAAAGAGAATTGTAGTTCCTCTTTTTTTGAAAGTGCAGTGCTTTTCTTTCTTTCTTTCTTTGGTCACTTGTCGGGGCTGTGAAACAAGGGTGAAAACCTAGACAGAATTAATTATGTAGCATACATCCATCTCATGGCTTTTCTGGTACTGTAGTGTCTTTTGAGAATTGTAATGTTGTAAAATTAAAATAGCTGGTATTTGTTACCAGGAGGCATAAAACCAGAGACAGCACAGTTGCTTGATGGTGACAGTGACTAAGGGGCTAATTGCAGAACCCTCTGGACTGTGCTTCAGTATCTGTCACTGCCAGTCAAATCTGACATGTTATATACGATTGTGTTGAAATTCCATGTCCTAAATGCTCCAAAATAATCCAAGGAAGGAGATGAGGCAATGGCTTGCTTTTAACTGGAAGGCTACTGTTTACGTCCGGTGAGGCAGAGTTAGAAATTGAGCAACTAGGGCACTAGTAACCATCCTGGCATAGTTTTCACTGGTCTATCGTTTCTCTTTCTTGGTGCTGGGGGTAATATACAAGGAGACAATAGGTTTGTATATTCACATTTCTCTGATGGTTTCCAAAACCCTTTATAAAATGCTGAATAAATGCAGTCGTTGCTAGGACTTGAGGTAGCAGAGTAACGAAGCATCGCAAGATTACAGTCTTATTTGCTTCCTGGACAAAAGCTTCTGTCACAGCTGTTGGAACAACTAGGGAAATAAGGGGGAAAAATACCAACATTTGACTTTGCCTAAGGCAAGGATAATTTTTACAGGTAGGTTAGTAGGATTGAGGTTGAGGAGGATGGGTAAGTGCTGAAGTAATTTCTGTATATTCTTCTGCATTGCAGCTTGTCTTCAATAATTTACTAATTTGGGAGCTAAAAGGCTGAAATAATTTTCTGTTGCAATGTCCCCCTTGTCCTTTAGGAGCCCTTGTTTCATTTCTGGTTTTGTTAGTAAGAACCCCTTGTTCCTTCTGCCTTGTTGACTCTCTTCATCTCTTAGCACGCTTTTGCCATCTTCAGCAGTTGCCTTACTCTTTGCTACACTCTGCACAGGAGAGGAAAAGGCACCTGGCTGTCAGTTGGAAGCTCAAAATTTTTTATTTCTGATTTGTCCTAATTCTCATCAAATTGTCCCATTTCATTTTCCTCAGTATTTTTTGTGACTCTGCTGTCATTCACATCTGCTCTTACAAATCACTTCCCACTTCTTCCACTGTTCTGCAGCCTTTTCTCTTCCTGCATGTTTTTCTCTCCACTGTTATTTTGATTTGGAGAGGGGAAACTGGTGAGTTGCTGGCTCTCCTAGAGCAGGAGTGAGCTGGTGACACTGCCGCTGTGAGGGAGAGGATTAGGAAACAACCTTTCCAACACTGCTCTTGAGGAGAGAGAAGGGACCAGGAGTATATGGTCGATAACCTAGCTCACTCTGCATGAACCAGGCAAAAGATGATTCAGTGGCCACAGCTTTGGCTAGAACCTGTTGTGGGCCTGAGGGTAAATCTCTGAACAAACCCATAAGGGAATACACTTGGCAGGTGTGCCAGGACACTTCCACTGATGTTCCTGCTTTCTTCTATTATCCTCAGATATCTGCAGGTTAAACGCACCTCTGTTGATGGTCACCCTCCAGCCCATGGAGACATGGGCATTCTCAGGTAGCTCATAAGGTTGTGTTAGACAGCTGAGGATAGCTACCCACAATTGATAGGCTTCTAGAGGGCCAGGGCTGGCTGGTCTGTTTGCTAGGGTTAACAAACGCATTTTAAACACTGTAACCCTTCTCCCAAGAAAGGGCAATTGGTGTCCAATTACCTGCTAATGTAAAGATGTTAGAAAATGCTTTTTAATCCTGCGTGTTCTTGTAGCGCATGTGTGGCTTTGGCAGAAGCAGCATTACATTTATGGAAGAACAGACACTTCTTGCAGTACTTCCAAATAGCTGTTCCTTGAGGGGTTTCTGTTTAAGTCTGGGCCTGTTCTAACGTAAGTCTAGCTGCAGTTCATGCGGGAGTGTTCCTGTTACTGAAACGGAATGTATTCTTTGTCCACAGACCTTGACAAACTAGACAATGAAAAGAGAGAGCTGATTCAGAACGACATTGCTGCTCTTCATCACTTTTACTCAAAGCACTTGGAGTACCCTGACAATGCTGCCCTTGTAGTTCTCTTTGCACAAGTAAGTTGGCTAGAACACAGCCTGCTTAGGTGGATAGTGCTGTAGGATTTTAGCCTTTGTGAAAGGGGAAAAATGTTAACGGCAATAGAAATGGTAGCTCTTTGCTTATCTTAGGGAGAGCTGAGTGTGATTGATGGAGAAGATCCACTTCCTTGACCAGAAGTGGCTAGACATGCCCCATTTCAGTAGTGAGGGGAGAGACTCTTGTCTGCAGACTTTCTATGAGGTGCTTCTCAAACACTGAAGAAAAGGGGAAACAGCCTGTATTAGACCCTGTCAAGTTAGGCTTCTTGTGGGCCAAGCATAGTGCAGCTGTTGTTGGACTTCTGTAGAAGGCTGCTGGTTTGAGATCCTACAGAGGCAAAACCTTCATTCAGGATTCAAACTTGTGGAAATCCTTGCTGGTCAGGTCATCATTGTGTTTGACCTTCACAGGAAGTAAACTTCAGAGAAGTAGAAAGAGCAGTCTGAAACTTTTATCTTGTGTGTGGCTTTTAAATGCAGTCAGGTAGTTTGGTCATCTGGAGAGATGAAGGAAAGGCAGGATGTCTTGTTAGATAACTTCTGAAATGCGTCACCTCTTTTTTTTCTCACCTGCTTTTCATACGCATCTAGATTGAATGTATTGTAGTGGATGGAATAACACACCAGTGGAATGCTGAAAGATCTATTTTCTTCTTTTGCCTCCTGTACTTCAAAATAAGCTCGTTTTAAACTTAAACGTCCGAGTAAAAAGTTTAATTTTTTTTGAGATTGGGGCAAATGTTGGCTGTTGTGATGAAAACTGAGATGGCAATACCCTGGTTGGTAGAGCTGGGCATCTACCAACGAGGAGGCATGGTTACTATTACCTTAGTACAGAGGTACTGTTATTTTGTAGGGGAATGATTCTTTAGCATGTTTAACATCTGCTCATCATCCATTGTGTTGTTTCTAATTATACATTTCCCTTCAATGAAAAGTTTTTTTCTGTTTTGAAGACTTTACAATTTATATTTGTCTGAGGGACATCAGTACATCCTGTTTCTTGTGGTGTTTCTGAATATTTTTGTTAGAATGTAGCCATAATCCCCAAAGATTATATTATTTTGGCTATAATGACTTTCGCTTCATGTCCTGTCCTGGACCAGCTCCACCAGATCAACTGACTTCTGTGAACTGCTGACTCCTAGATCTGATATTCCATCCAGTCTTCTCTATAGATGACTAATGTCACCCTTAGGTGTCACCTTAAGCTTCTCCTGATCATCAGGCAACTATCTGCTGCTGTGGACATTGCAATTTTTTTGAACTAAATTCTCCAAAGGTCATGTGGATGCTCCTCAGAAGTATTTTACAGGACACAACCTTTTGAGGTTTTAGCTCCAGCATAAATCTTTCTAGAAGAAGAGGAGGCATGTCTGTACTTGATATGTACAAACACGTTTCCTAATAATTAGTTAACTTGACCTAAAACCGATACTATGGATATGCTGCTGCTCCTTTGTTTTGCTTCAACACTTTCTCTGGCCTCATGTTGTCTACTTTGCTTCTCCATTCGGCATTTTTTCTCCCTGTGGCTTAGGGCAGTCGTTTGGGACTCGGATACCTCTGACTCCTTGCTCACTGCTTTTTGTGGGCTTTGTCTGATGTTTCTTACTCAACACAGCTAAGGTGTAATTGGTCCTTTTGAGTGGAGCAAAGATTTTTGTACAAGCCATCTTTGCCTCTCATTGCTCTCTTCCCCAGCTGTTGGTATCATTCTACTCTCTTTTGTCCCTGCAGAACATAGCTCTCGAGACTGGTGCTCTTCCTCCTCAGTCTCACCTTGTCATACTCTTCAGACAGTTCCTCTCTTGTCTCAAGTTCCAGCATCTCATCCTTTCCTTGAAGACCTTGCATAATTTTGTGCCTCCCTTTGCACGTTCTGTTTTCCACCATTGGGAACAACCCTGAGCTCTAGTTTTCTTGCGGTTGTCTTTTTACTCCTTCCACATTGCCTTTTTTAGTCATGCATTCATCTGGTGAAACCAGTGGTATCTCATCCCTTCTAATTCTTCCTCTTGTGTTATTTTTGGTATGATGCATTCAAGAAGTGTGTTGTCTCTGGCTTTGTGGAGGGGAGTTGATGATAACTCACTACATATTTTTAAATATTTCCCTGTGATTCAGAACCATCAAGCTGTTCTTCATGTCAGCCTCTGTAGCCTTATGTTCTTACTTGCTGTTGATATAATCTTTCCCTTCTATTGTTTTTGTATTCAGCAATTACATTTTGGTTTTGGTTCAGGTATGCTCATACATTGGCTAGTGCAGTAGCATGCTCATCTTGAGAGACAGGGAGCCTTTGGATGCTACCTTGCTAAAAATAGCAGGATAAAGATCAAGCAAAGATAGCAAAGATACCGGTGAGCGAATCAGAGAAACAGGACACTTTTCCTTAATTGTGAACTCATCCTGAACAGTTCATACTTGAGGAGTGGCTTTGGGAAGTATTTGTATATTTCTAAAACCCAAACCGAGCTGCGTTCCAGCTTGTGGGCTATATCATTGTTGGTAGCGTTTGTTGTCAACTCTTGCCCTTCCAGAACAAATACTTACACTGTACTTGATTGACTGTTCCTGTGCCCATTGTAGCTTCAGCTGGACTTGGCCACGTGACGGTAGTTGTTTTAGTGCTTTTCTGGCACTTCAGTGAACATTTTGATGATTGTAGGGAGTTGTTGGTGAATGTGGGGAGGGTTCTCTTTATGTTGGCATGTATGTGACTCACAGTGAAAGTGGAATAGAGTACTTGACTGAGGTGCATTTTGGTCACTTAAAGTCACACAAACCACATGAAACAAAGCTGAAACTCCTTTAAGATTCCCTTGTTTAGTGAGAATAAAAGAGGGAGAAAGTATTAAAACCTGCTTGAATCTATCCTGTAAGAAAGATTTGTGAACAAGCTCTTTTGATCCTGTGTCTGTTTAAATTAGGAATACACTTCCTCTCATACTCTGTCCTTTTTCTGTTCCCTCCTATTCTATGTCTTTGTTAGGTTCAAGTCTTTCTCACTGCCTTTTTTGTTCTTTATATGTGTTTAGCTGTAGCTGATATGTGCAACCCTTGATGACAGATGTCATTGTGGCAAGTCTCTGTAACATATGCTCCATTAGAGCTCTGTACAGCCCTGGCCCGGCTGAGTTTGCTGCTGTTCATCCCTACATTGCTCCTTGTGTGCGTAGTTCTGCTTCGGCCCTTTACTTGTCATGGCCAAATGAACTCTCTTTGCCCTGTCAGTGTCAGACTTTTTTTCGTGTTTGCAGTGGTCTTGCTTTGTCTGACACTCTTTCTAGCGCTCTTTTCAAGCCCCGTTTCTCTTGGTTGGCTTTCCAAGAAGCAATCCCCTAGATGTTGTGTCCTGAGCAGGTGCAAGTGTTGGACTGTCAGTTCTTTGGTGTCCTGCACATTCCTTTGGATAGGGACTTTGTCCTCACTTCACTTTTTGAGATGTCATGTAGCTCCCTGTGAGTACTGGTCAGGTGGAAAGGAAATTGTAAGCAAATTACTGCAATTGACTTCGAAGTATGAGAACGTGAGATGTGAGTGTGGAGTACTTAGCTGATGAGAAGCTGATCTAGTCCCTTTCTCTTTTTCCTTAGGTTAATTGTAATGGCTTCACAATTGAAGATGAAGAACTCTCTCATTTGGGATCAGCCATATTTCCTGAGTAGGTTGATTTTAATAGTTTTAAAAATAAAATTAACTTACTTAAAAACAAACAAAGGTTCTTGCACATGTATGGAAGTAGATCTCTACTGAAAGAAATTTAAACACTTAGTTTGTCTTGTTTTAAATATCTTTAATTAGCTAAGAAAATGTGGCCAATGATTTGCAGCAGGTTTTTTTTTTTTTTAAATCTGGTTTTTCCTTAGGTTAATTGTAATGGCTTCACAATTGAAGATGAAGAACTCTCTCATTTGGGATCAGCCATATTTCCTGAGTAGGTTGATTTTAATAGTTTTAAAAATAAAATTAACTTACTTAAAAACAAACAAAGGTTCTTGCACATGTATGGAAGTAGATCTCTACTGAAAGATTTTTAAACAGTTTGTCTTGTTTTAAATATCTTTAATTAGCTAAGAAAATGTGGCCAATGATTTGCAGCAGTTTTTTTTTTTTTAAATCTGGTAATTGTAAAATTGCACTTGTAACTTGTTTTGAAGCTTAGATTGTGAACTGTGTGCAGGTTTGTAGGAAACACTTACTTGGCTAGCAGGTTCTGGACAGGGACATCTTGCAATGATCAAAGCGAAATGAAAAGGATTGCAGGTGACTTGCTCTATTCACAACTTTCTGTTTTGGCTGGGTATAATCCTTCACCTGGTGTTCTCTGAACAACATTCTTTCTACCTTTGTTCCTTTGCAAACAGTAAATCCCTTTCATAAGTTCTTTTGGCCTCCTCAGATGTTTTAAAAACTGCGATGCTTTATGTTGCTATGACAGTGGAAAAAATATGTACAAGTTTCTTAGCTTTACAGGTAAACTGCAGATTTTAAGTGTTAACGGCAGTTTGCGGACCGGCGAGCACAGCTCTCTTTAAGGCTGAGGAACATTTCTTCCATTTATGTCTGTCCTTCCCACTTCTTGTTGTAGCAAAGGAGGATATTTTCTGCCCCTGTTCTTCGCAAACCCCATACTGAAAGTATTATCACTGTCTGCTTAGGTTGACTATCTTGTGAGGCATAAATTACTAGTATCTTATCTACATCAAAGTAATCCAAAAGTTACAGATGCCCAATTAAAGCAGGACCTGAGTTTGTTAAGTGCTGCATACAGACAGTAGTAGATAGTACTTGCTTCACAGATTCTCATTCTTCAGGCAGGTCTGTCTGAAGTCCGTATCTTTGATCTACAGATTGGAAATTAAGGCCTTGAAATGCCCAGGATCAGAGTCATGGTGGAGAGAGGAGAGTATTAAACCAGGATGTTCTGGAAACATGTCCAACACCATCCTTTGTTTGTAAAAGCTCAGCATGCAAGAGCCAGATCTTTCCTACTTAACAGTTATGCCTGTGAACTAAAAAGACTGAAGAGACAATCATTATTTTGGTAGATTGGAAGAGAAAAAAATAAAATTATACATTTTGTCTCAAATAAGCAGCAAATTGCACTTTCTCCAAGCTTGGTAGTAAGGGGGAGTACTTTTCTCTAGTGGTCCAAGTTTTTGTGTAAGTCATGTGCTTGTATAACAGACAGAGGTCTCTTCCCTCCCACTTCAAACATGGAGGCCGTTTACGTTTGCACAGAAGCCAGCTAAAATTTTAACTCCCATCTTAAGTTGCGATGTAGCAAATTACTTTTGTTTTCCTGTATTTGCTTGTTTCCTTTAGGTTAAATGTTTCTCTTTCTTTCTCTTCTGAGGAAAATAGTCTATCATAGGTAGCTAAACAGGATGTTGATAGTTAAGCTATGTGAACACCCCTGTCAGCTGTCCCGTAGCACTATAAGAATGGGAAGATAACAACTTGCCTAGTCCTGCAATAATAGGATTTAAAAAATTTTATGATTCATTAGCACAGCCGTTCTCCATATCATTAGAATGAATCATAGAATCATAGAATAACACTACAACAGATCTTCCCAAGGTTATCTTCATGTTAAGCCTCAGAATAAAAAGTTTACAGAGAGAGACTGACTCAGTCTTTCAGACTTACTTGTTTTGTGAAGTGGTGCTTAACTTTTTGCCTGTTGCTTTTGATGGTGGTGGGGAAAAGGTTTACTTTTCTACTTTTACAGTGTTGCATTGATGAACCATAGCTGTTGCCCAAATGTGATTGTAACTTACAAGGGGACCTTGGCTGAAGTCAGAGCTGTTAAAGAGATTGAGCCTGGAGAAGAGGTAAATGCACTGTGTTTGAACGTACTCTGTACGCATGCATCCTAAAAGTAGGATCCATTCTGCTTTTCAGGATTCATTTCAATTAGATGACAGTTTAATAATGGGGAAGGATCTCTTGTTTCTCAGGGAAGTGTAAGATGTTGCTTTGGAAAAGTTGGGTGGCTCTGGAGGGCTGAAGCGGTTCTCGGAGGCAGTATCCTATTTTGTGCTGAAACAAGGGAAGAGCACCTGCAGCAGTCACTGCGTATCTGCCAGCCTCTGTCTCAGTTTACCCATCTGCAAAATGAGGCTGAGTTTACTGATGTTTGGCTGGTGCTTTGAAATTCCAGGATCAAAGCAAATTATTACTGCTCTAATATTTCCCAGTATAATAGTAATGTATTGAAATTGAAGCCAGAATAAACAAGGTAAACGGGTACAGATAAGTCCTCTAACTTCTGTTTGGACAGAGCATCCACAAAACACGGGACTCAGTCATATCACCTCAGCAGCCTTTGGCTGGGAAGTCACGGAGGAACAACAGTGTGGTTTTAGGTGGAGCGAAGCTGAACAGCGATGGATAAAATTCTGTGACATTGAATAAGTCTCTGGGTTTACCTTGAAACTTTCTCAATCAAATAATGAACTTGGCAGGGAGTCTTCAGCAGCAGAGCTGCTTTTTGCTTTAAAAAAAAAAGAAGAAAGATGTTAAACAGAGTTGAGGAGGATGTTCAAATATCTGCAAGGGATGAAGATATGGAACATTCTCTCTGGGGAAGGAGTTTGCATAGAGTTTCAATGTCTCGTTTGTTAATGTTGATTTAGCGGGCAAAGTTAATGCTGATCAAAATAAGTTCGGATTTGATTTTGATAACTCCTACCACTTTCTGAAGTACGTGATACCAGTTTTGAAGAAGGGGAGAGAGGTTATTTTTGTGGATTATAGCTGTTCACCATTGTGAACAAAGCGAGTTTAGTTGCTGGAGCCAAGGGTGAATGACTCGGGTGAGCAACTTCTTTTTATGCCATTTACTAACGATGATTTGTCTGTGATGTTGGCAGTCACTACAAATGCATTGTGGTAATGGACAAGGACTGATCTTGGTTTTGGAATTTTACTGTGGAATCCCGGACATTTCAGCATTTTTGGGGAGGGCTTACTGTGAGCGGTAGAGATGTGGAGTATTTGCCTTGCTTGGCGTCTTCTTTTGATTGAGTTGTGTCTTAGAAGCTGCATCAGTTCTCCAGGACCTCATGGCTTTTGCGCATTTGCTTTTCTGACACTTAAGCATTTTACAAATGTGAGCTCGTGGTTTTGCTTGGGCTCCGTGCAGTCTTACGGCCTGTGTCTCCATCTTCAGGTTCAATGTAGCCATTGCATCGCAACATTTTTAAAGTTTTTGCTGTAAATGGAACTCCTGCATTTTGCATGCTTTGAAAATAGGGAAGGGAGGAGAGGAGTGTGAGGGAAAGTGTGAGATCACCCAGAGTAAAAAGAAGAACATGTACTGTATGAAATTACAAGTACATTTTACTTTAAAGAAGAAAGAAACCTTGAGCATAAAGACTAAGCAAAACATTTCAAACTATAAATGAGGAAATGGAACTGAAACTGTTCCTTGGTCTGCAAAATGATCGACTGCGCTGTGCATATGACATGTTTCTTGGGGGAGATCTCATTTTAAAAACAGAGCATTAAAGCTAGTTGCAGGGGTTCTTTTCTGAAGACCATTGAAGTAGAGCAAAACTTAAGAATAGTGTATGTGAAGGGCCTTTAAAATGTTCAAAAGCAGGTTTTCTTTGCTTTAAATCTTTGCTGCTGAAGTAAATCTGATATTCATTCTCCTAGAACTGGAGCACTGGGCCTCTCTTCTTTTCAGAGATCTAAAGGTCTTGTCCTAAGTTTCTAAAGCTACCAGTGACTGCTGTTGCCCCAATTTTTGTAGGTTTTCAGAAAGAAAAATTTGAGATTCCAGCCTCCAAAAAACCAGGCCACTGTAATTTATCCTAGGCTGGATACCTGAAATCATTATTTTACTTCTGAAAAGTAGGCATCTCTTTGTAGTCTGACAGGAGCCTGAGATTTATGCTGTGATAGTTTCCTTATCCACACCTGAATCTTGCTGTCCTGGGTTTAAGCCAGGGTAATATTTGAGGGAAATTCCATAATTAATAGGAAAGGAAACACTTCTCTGTCAGATTGCATTCACAAATGGCAACTCCTGATGCGGCTGAGAGGCTTGGAATGTGAGGGAACAGGCAGGTGATGTGGCTGCAGGGATCCACAAGCTGCATGAATTTGTAGTCATTATACTGCATATACCAGAACTGGTAGTGATAAATATGTATAGTTACACTGCTTTTCACTGACTGCTGTGCTTTTACCGTATAGGTTTTTACCAGCTATATTGACCTATTGTATCCCACAGAAGACAGAAATGACCGGTTAAGAGACTCGTATTTCTTTAATTGTGATTGCAGGGAGTGCATTACAAAAGAAAAGGTAATAAAATCGGTGTGAAATATGCTTCTGACTGTCAAGGCGCCTACCCAGGTCCTTAGATGTAGTATTGTATCTGGTTTAATTAAATTTTGGAAAGGAGGATAATGGAGGGAGGGGGATGGTTTTGTTTTTCTGTCTGGAAGACTTTCTGATACTCACTCTTTCCATGTAATCATGACATATCGGGAAACTTCCTGGTAGGTGCCTACTTAAAGATGAGCTACAAAGCAAAGATGAAAACTTTGTTAAAAGTAGAAAATTATACTGTGTCTATGCTACCTGGCCAAAAGAATTTAGCTCAGAACTCCATTTTTGTAACTGCATGTTTTCTACCAACTCCCAGCTGTGAAGCTTGCTTGAGGCATTTCTGGGGTCCTGTTCTGGGATAGAGTCCTGCTGCAGTTCCTGGTTGGGGCATCTCAGTCAATTCTAGGTGATGTCGTGTATGACATTGCCGGACGGTTTGGAGACCCAGCAGAATCTGCAAAACAAGCTTTCCTGCAGTGGCACCATGTCGTTCTTCTCACAGACAGGGTAGTCCTGGGTCACAGCCCCTTGTGATGCACAGGCCAGATTTACGTTCATTAGACATCACCTGGTGCTCTTCAAAGGACAAAGGCAGACATCCAGACAGTGTTCCTTAAAACAAGGTGTTTGTTATTTTGAACAAAAGCACTTACGGGGGGTCAAAAAAAGCACCCAAACCCAGCAGATACTGAAACAGCTGTGCCTGTCCTACTAATTGTTTACTTATCCTTCAGTGGAGGTCCTAGAAGAATCGAGCTTCGCGTGGCTCATCTGTCATTCCAGTCAAGATCAGTCTGGCTGGCATAATCTGATCCTTAAGTTCTAGATTATTTTTTCCCCCGTTTTCGCAAAGGTGTCCTTTTAAGAGCTGCTTTCCAAACTGACCAGACAACCATCTCCTTCCTCTAAACGGTGTTGTCTTTTGTAACTTTTTTTCCCAAATAGTACCCAATATTCGTGTTTGAGGCCATTCTGTTGATACCGTAGTTGTGTTTTTCCCCACCATTACCTTGATAATTTTGCCACTGAGTTTAATCAAGGCCAGGATTTAATCTGTCATTTCCAACAACATGCTACTCTTGGAATCACCTGTCACTCAGCCTCCTTCAGCTCTGGGAAGAGTCCCCTATAGCCCTCACAGCTGGCAGATGAAATAAGAAAGGAAAAAGGAATCTAGCAACAATGTGAGGCTTAAGCAGCAAAAGGTGTCTCCAGGTTGCAGCTGACTCTTCATGAAGTAGAAAGTTAGATAGAAAGATAAGAGTAAGTGGAGCTGTCCAGCAGAAATAACACAATATGTGGAAACGTGGTTTTGTCTGCAGATATGAAGGATCCTTTTCCGTATTTAATATCATCTCGTTTTCCACTGAGCTATCACTTGGTGGTAGGCCTAAGGTATTTGGGCTTTTCTAGCCTTAAAACTAAATTTGTTTTAATCCCTAATCTCTCGGAAGCAGTGAAATTTCCTATGTAAAACTGCTTTCATCACAAAATCGAAAAGCTCTTGGATCTTTCAAAAGAAAGGGACTTCATGGAAGTAGAGAATGGCAGATGAACTGGAAGGCGCAGAGGATTCTAGGATTCCCAGCCAAGGCTTTAGAGAAAAATTGCAGGTGCACATTCTACCTTTGTTTTTACACTCTTTGAAGAGCTTAAGTTCCCATCTGTGTCTTTTTATTAGAGTAATTTTGTGTAGCAGGTGCACCTTTATTTGTAGGGCTTGGAACCTGTATTTATAACGTCCATTGTGTTTCCTTCAGGATAAAGAGAAACTGGAAATCCGCAAGCTGAATGATCCTCCATCAGCAGAGACGGTAGGGGACATGATCAAATATGCCAGGAACGTGATTGAGGAATTCAGGCGAGCCAAACACTACAAATATATCCTTTGTCTCACCCTGACTCCTCTGGCTTGGTGTGTGACCTAAAAAACTTACCTGCTGGATTGCTTCAGAAGTACCTGCAGGAGAAATACTATGACCATTAGAAGTTAAACATACCTCTGTCCTCTTTGTGTCTGAAGAGTTGTCCCTGGAGACAAGGGGCAGTTTAACCTTGCAGGTGCTGTGGGATTGTGAGACCCTGTGTTTGTTCCTTCCTGTGCGGCTCTCAGTTTCTAAGAGTGCAGCATACGGCTGTCTCCACGCAACAAGCCAGAGACTAGAGTGAGCCTAGGTGTGTGCATGTGTTAGTCTACTGTAATACTGCCTGGTTTTGGGAGACTGCAGCTACTGCTGGTGGTCACAAGCCCACCTGTTGTAACAGTGGTGCGATGCAGACAAAAACGCAAGATTCATTGGGCCAGAAGCAGACCAGGCTATCTCATGCCTGATTCAGTACCCACTGCGTGGGGAATTTCACTCCCCCTTCTTCTGACACATTGCTGGTGCGGTGGTGATTCAGGAAAGCTGCTTTGTTTGCTGCTTTTTAAATCTGAAAGCTAGTTTTGTAGAATATCTGAGTAGGAGGGGGAATAATCTTGTGAGCAGAATACCTCTCAAAGTAGCTCTGGGGTTGTAGCGTAGGTGCTTTGATGCCGTTTGAGAGAAAAGAGAACTTCTCGGAACCGTTCTGAACAAGTTTAAGTCAATTCTTCTTCGGCATTACCAGGTAGTTGTCTAATCACAAGTCAATTCTTCTTCGGCATTACCAGGTAGTTGTCTGTGATTAGACCATTTATTTATTGGGTTCCTTGACTTCTTCATACCTCCTGGTGAATTACTGGAGATCTGTGAACTTAGCCTGGACAAGATGGGTGCAGTGTTTGAAGACAGTAATGTTTATATGTTACATATGATGTACCAGGCCATGGGTGTCTGTCTCTACATGCAGGACTGGGAAGGTGCACTGCGTTACGGGCAAAAAATTATCAGACCATACAGGTAAATATGAGACTTTTTTTTTTTGCGCTCTAATTCAGTAATCTGAATAATTAAGACAAGTTTGGGCAGAGATCACTTCTCTCAGTACATATTGTATAAACACGCTACCCATGACATCACTACTCAAAAAGGAATGTTTAAATGCTGGGACAGATTTTGTTACTGTCAAAATGTGACCTGTGATATATAGCAGAAGGTGACTCTGAAATCCTTGCTTTGAGTTCTCAAAATAAGTGTGTACCACCTTGGATACTGTGCTAGTTCTGTCTAGCTAGATGAATACTGTATTTTTTAATATCCTAATACTTTACTAAAGCAGAGCTTCGAAGTGCATCTGCAGTCAGTATTATGTGTAAGGTAATGGAGGCAAAGCCCGCTGTTGCTGTTAACCTCCCGCCCTCTCCTGATCCTTTCTCTCTGCAGTAGCACAGCGGTCATGGTTGCAGGAGAGCAGAGCCCTGTCCCGGGGCTGGGGCTGAGCAGCAGAGGGAGCTGGAGCCGGGCTCAGCACTCGGAGGCTGTGGGTGCCCTGATGTCCCTGATCTCCACTGCCCTAGAGTTGGAGGCGTGGGAGAATGTGCAGGCTGAAGCCCCGTGTGGGGCAAGGCAGCACGCAGCCTCTGCAGGAAAAAATTAATACTCTCTCCGATTAAATTTTTCTGTGTTTTTACAGTAGTGATCTCGTTCATTAGAGCCAGCCCGTTATGCACTGTATCTGATCCTGCCATGGATCTCCCAAGCAGATTCTCATCTTGAGATCTGACTTTCTTGCCAGCTGGGGGGAGCACAAGTAAAGCTCTCCCTTTGGAGCAGATGCCAACGTAAAGTCACAGATCACTTGGCAGAGAGCAGCGATACAAAGAAGGAGCCAACATTCCCCCCCTGGGGGCTCAGTACTATTTATCTTCCCTGGGACTTGCCCAGCTCCTCTGGCTCCGAGCCTGGCATTCCAGGTCAGCTCTGCTGAACCGGACTCTGCTAGCTCAGTGTGTGCGAGTACAGAATGGCATGTGCGCTGTACGCGCTGCTGAGGGCCCCTCGCTTTCCATTAAAGACCAACTATTGTGGAATAGGCCGAGTTACTTCTGCGGGTGTAGGGTGGCTCCAAAACCTCATAACAATGCAGTCTCTTTCTGTGGCTGGCTAGATTAAAACTAGTGGCAGAAAGTCATTGCCATCTGACAGCTGTTTGGAGGCATATGGTAGTTTCAGTTCAATTCCCAATTGTCAGGCGTCCCCATCCCAGAAACAATTGGCACTGACTCTTGGCAGTCATGGCAGAGGGGATGAGCGGCGAATGGGCAGGGGCAACCAGAGGCAGCTTCTTGCCCCCTGAGAGGGGGCTGGGGGCTGGGAAAATGCTATGAAACTGCCAGGTTTGATAAAGCTGAATTTCTTTCTCTCTTGCAGTAAACATTATCCCTCCTACTCGCTGAATGTTGCCTCCATGTGGCTGAAATTAGGGAGGCTGTATATGGCGCTGGAGAACAGAACGGCTGGAGTTAAAGCCCTGAAGAGGGTATTTATTTCCCGGTTTCTTCATTAATAATACCAGTTCAGGCGTGGGATCATTGAAACGCTACGTGCTTCTCTGTCAGTAAGCCTGGCTTGGTAGGAAATGCACCATGTGTTAATATATTTGGTTACTGGATTTTTGGCTCAGTTTCGATTTTTCCAAAGATGCAGTATAGGTCTGTTCTCGCATACAAGGGGTCTTACATTTTCACGGTGGGCTTCTAGTGCAGCAGCTGGAGTGAGCATTATGCTTAAACATTTGCTATATGTTCTTCACTGAACTAGAGCTGTACTAGTGTAGACGAAGCAGAACTCTGGCTTCTCCTCACTTGCTAGGTAAGGACAGAAAAAATGCTTGGCTCTTAGTGTGGCACACAGTGTTTCATTGAAGTCTGTGATTTCTATATCCAAGTTAAACTAGGCATGCTTTTGGTGGTTATTTGTTCTGGAACCAATTGATTTTTAAGTAGGGAAGGGAATTCAATGCATATGGTAATGCTGAAATTGGCAAATACAGCATTTGGTTTTACATTTTTCTTCACCCCTTTTTATTAGTCTGTTCCTTTTTCTTTAGGTTTTTTTATTCTTCTGGTTTTTTATTAGTCTGAACCATGTTTCTTGACTTTCTTCCCCTATTGTCGTTGGACAGAAGTTTATTTTAGTTTCTTAAGCATCAGTGACTACTGTAGCATATAATGACTCGGTGTGGAATGTCACGATTTTTTTTTTTTTCTCTTCCTTTTTAGATGCTGGCAAGTTTTTAGCCAGCAATAACAGAGCCATCCAGCCACGGTGAAAGATAGTGCAAGAATATATGCTCTAAAATTTAACTGTTACCTAGTTTAAAATTAGCAGATTTTTTTTTTTTTTTTTCCCTTCGCTGTGGTGTTAAAGCTTTGACTAAAACTGGGATGTGTGCCAGTAGGAACATGGGATGGGGGGTTGGGAACCGTAGGTAGATTTGTTGGCATAGTTAGCTTCCTAACCCAAACACTTTCTAATGACTCACTTCCAAAAGCTGCCTACAGGAACTGCCCAAAGTTATCCCAGCCCCTGATGTTTGGGATTTAGTGGAAAAACAAAACCATTGTTTTCTGTCAGTTTGCAAGCAGCTCGTCCAGAAGACCCTCCTTTCTTCTTTTGGGCAGGAGGGGGAACAGAGTAATTTCTCACTGCTGCTGAGGTGGAACCAAAGGCTCTTGTTGTACTGACTTAACAAGTATAAGAGTGTAATTCCATAAAAGTTTCCCGAGGAGAAAATGACTAAATGCTCCGAGGGCTAGGATGCTGCAACTCCTTGCTTTATCTTAGCACTGTGGTCTTCAAATATTCTCAGACTTACTCTGAACATGCTTCTTTCAGTCTTACCTACCGCTGCCTTTTATTACATCTGTTTGGGGCCACTGCTGTCCTCTTCTGAAGTGGAAATCTTGCCTCTACACCCACTCCGCAATGCAGTGTGGAAAGTGGCAGGAAAGTGCAAGTCAGTGGGTTTGGCTGCCTGAAACGCTCACTCTTAGGACCAGAGCAGGCTGTAGGTGAAACGGCGGGGAGTCGGGCACAGCAGTGTCTGTCCGAACCTGACAAGATCTCGCTTTTGCCTCAGTGGTTGCCTAAGCAATTCCTTCCTTCGTAAAGCATTGGTAGCCCCTGGAACCGGTGGAGGGTTTACAGAATCAAGTCTGAAATGCCTTAAGGTAACTTCTGCAATATAGGCCTGCTCGTCAGTCTGACAGCTGAAGGATGAATTGGTAGGAACAGAGCTCCGTCTGATACTGGTTAAGTCCTCTGCCAGAATATTACCCGCCCCACTTGCAGTTTTCTGTCCTGGAGCTGGTTGCATTCAAAGTAGTTTTGTCAGGAATATCATTTTGAACGGTGCTTTGGGATCCTTTAAGATGAAAGATGTATTCTCTGAATGTAAAACCTTTATTACTTAGTTTTGAATTTCATTTTATTTCCTACTGGGTTTATGACTACAAGGGGACAAAAAGTAGCTAGAGGTGTCAGACTGTTTCAAACCTCTAAAGAGAGTATTTATAGCCTGGTGTTATATATGAATCAATTGTGTGAATATTTTTTTCTTTTCATAGGCAATTGCTATCATGGAAGTAGCACACGGGAAGGATCATCCATACATTTCAGAGATCAAAAAGGAATTAGAGGACCACTGAGCCTTTGAATCTATGCAATCCTTCAAACCTTTATTTAAAAAGCCTTGTTATGGAAACCTTCAGGAGCGCTTTGAAAAGCGGTAGAGTATGAACACAGTTCTGTCCTATAATTGGAATGACAAACACACTTAGGCCTTGCAAAATGTTCCTAGCTTCCACACATCTACAATTGCCTTTTTTCCTCCTTTTTTTTTTTTTAAGGAAGCATCCATGGTTTCTTAAAGGTTATGCCTTTTGACAGCTCATGCAAAAATAGCCATTTTTTTCTTTATGGATTTTAATGTATCTATCTTATTTGTGTAAAGTAAATAAAGTGGTCTTGACCCCTCTTGATTCCACTTGTACACTTACATGAGTGCAATAGTTTTGTGCCATCTACTTTTGCCTAAGTCAGTCAGTCACTTAATCTGCCAAATTAATTAGCAAAAGCTGTACTTTTTTGTTTGGTTTAGTATCCAATTCCTCTTTTCACAAATCGTTTTTGTTTGCAGTGGCTTAGCTGAGAGAAAGGGGAAGTGGGGGTGATGAATTCTGCGCATCGTGCAGGAAATCCACCACCTTTCCCCCGGCCAGGTAATCTGCAGGCCCATCACTGCTCCTGGCACGTGGGGATTCATCGCTGTAAGGACCTAGAGCTCAGCATGCGTTGCACAGAGAACGCTGGCACCTGCCTCAGAGCTCGAAGGCTTGCACAAGACACGAACTGTGCCACTTCTGGCTTTTTAATCCCCTTTACAAGTTGAAGTGAATTTACTGCAGAGGAGAGCTCATATTTCCTTATCGCCACACCTTTGGCTCCAGTGGATTAAAACTATTCTGTTAATACGTTAGCAGTTACTTTTAATAGAGGAACAAGAACATATTCTGAGGAAAAAATCCAGGACTGGGCTTTCTCTGCCCATGTGTAAGACCGGAGGGCTGGTTTCTTTCCTCTGTTTAGATCAATGGCAGGAGATTGCTTTTAAGGATGGGGAAGGAAGAGGAGGGAGAGTGTGGCTGTGTACTTCCAGCACCAAAGTTGAAATATGTTGCATTGTAAAACTACATGACCATTCCTTACTGCTTTCACAGCTTATAAAGTACAATGAGAGAGAGAACACATCACCATTAAGAACTTCATCGTATTTTCTTTCTTGTAAGTGCTGCTCTGCAAATAAAACTGCTAGAAAATAAGAGTTTGTCAGCTCGTTTTGCCAAAAGCTTCCATTGCTCTCTAGCCAGCAATTGTTGCTGGAGTACATAAAACTGCACCAGATCTTACGATTCCAGAAAGCCAAGGCCACTTAACTACAGCCAAGCCTAGGAAGAGGGCACTAGCTGACTCTTTTTATCCTAACTTTACCTTGTCAAGCAAACCCTTCTCCAGGGAAACAGCACCTTCACTTCAGCCCAGACCATACTTCAACATCAAAGAATGGGATTAGCCTAGCACGCGCACCGCTAGGAGCCTTGCCCCTGTGAAACTTGGATTACCGTTTACTGAAGGTTCTTCAAAACTCACTGTGGCCCTGGCTGTGCCTAGCAGTTTAACAGGGGAAACCAACACGAGCACAATAGGTGCAAATACAAAACCTTAAGGTGGTACAGGAAAGAACACAGGCATAGTTTTCCTTGAAAAAAATGGTTTATTTTATACTGTGAATATGAAGGACAGCCTTACCAAAAAACCTTAGTGACTGAAGACGTTCTCGTAGTTGCAAAAGCATATAAGAAACTATTTACACAAAAAGGCAGTGAAAGGGGTAAAAAAATTATTGCAGTCAATTAATGCTGAATAGAACTTTATAAAAAGAGAAAGAAAAGAAACAGTGCAAAAATACTGTCAAAAGTAATCAGTTCTATACACAAGATAAAACTGACAAGCATAAGCTTATGTACTGATATGAATAATACATTAGAATATAAAATAGCATGCATAGATTTATTTTTTTAAAGGCTTTCAATAGCATAGAATAGTTCTGCCATTCAGCCCTAACAGGAGGGAGTGGGGGGCAGGAAGGGCATAGAACTGATGTCTCCTTTCTCTACAAAATGTGTACATACAATGAGGTCGTGAGAGTCAGATCACTGTTTTGTGCTGAACTGTCATGTACAGAATTACAGAACAAATACAACAGGAAGCATCAAAATACTGAAGTAAAACAGGACAGTAAAATCCAGTGACATAAAACTTACTTAAACATGTTATTTCATTTAACGCGTCCCACACAATTATATATGGGAGTATTACAGTCATCTGCATGTGTAAACTTTTTTCCTTTGTAAAATAGCCAAAGAAAGGTACTTTACTAATGAGGAAAACATGTTTTCCATACGGAGCAATCTCAACAGGATACACATCCTATTAACAGTGTCTCTGGCACTAAAGGTCTGTTTTCTTTTAAGGACCGAGTAGCAGCGAGAACATACTTCTATTTCACATACACTAAAAGGAAGTTCTTATAGACGTAATGTACGTTAAGTTGTGGAACTCACCAACACAGGGCGTTGTGAAGGCCGGAGGAATAAATGGGTTTTAAAGAGAAGGTAACGTGATTCATGGAAGATGGATCCATCACAGTGAGCGGGATATAACTTTCACCTCGGGAAGCCCCCGAAGGCCCGGTTGCCAGGTGTGCTAGAGGGGCTGAGCACCCTCCTCTAGACACATTCATCTCTCTTCCTTAAGCATCAGCTACCAGCCGCTGTCCAAGACAGGGTGCAACCTCTAGCCTGCCATGGAAGTGTTTTGTAGAAGCCTTCCTCATCAGGGAACACTGCCCCTGAAATATCTGGAGCTGAGTGTCCAAAACACTGAGTCCTTACCCCCGTGATGTGGAAGAGCAAAAACGATCGAGCTCTATAGTCATTTCAGGGATCAGCTGAAGTATTAGTCTTTCCCTTGCTGTTAAATAGTGCTGGGATTCTTCAGCCAAAGCTGCTATGTTCCCGCTGACTTCCCGTTCACCCTCCAAAGGCAAAGTCCTGCTGCTGTAGCACGTGCGAAACTCGCAGCGAGGGTGCACACAACGCACGGGCATCAAAACTTAACACGCTGAAAAAAAACCACCAACCGAAAAATGGCCGAGAGGATCCAAGGGAATTGCAGTGTAAGATACTCTAAAAACGCTGACAAAATTTACTTACTTTTAAATATTTTCTATATAAACACTGCTATTTCTGACCTGTGCGCTAAGTGTTTTGTTTCACAATCTAACAATAGTTTATGGCTAAGACCTCCATCTTCTGTTATTCGGCCAACAGCCCAAGCAGCCAGCTGTTCCTTCCTCAAATCACAATCCCTGCAAGCCAAGGCTACACGCAGCTGCACGCGTCATGTCCTCCTCTAAAGACTCGGACAGCATCTGTAGTTCCCATAGCAGCAGATTCTACAAGAAAACCTTTCTAGAAGGCTAAGAACAAGATGGGGACAATTGCCTTCAGGGTTTTGCACTTGCAACCTTTCTCTTGTTGGCATCAAAACCCATCTCCAAACTCCATGTGACTAGGACTATACACCAGCAGATTTACATCCATTTTTATAGAGGGGTGGACAAATGATGTTTTCATGCAGTGCTTCCCTTTCCAGGTCAGTTCTGGGTATTCGCTCCTTCAATATGACGCATCCTTTATTTCATGCAGTGGGTGCCACCTCAGCTCTCTGGCTGTACGGCATTCTTTTCCATAAAGACAAGCAGCAGAAATTTAACTCCGACCTCTCTCAGTGGTGCACGAGAGCTGCTACGGCAGATACCGGCCATACTGATGCTCCCACTTCCTGAGCACACAGTTCACAAACTGTTCGTGGGACTGACAGCAGCTCATTCAGCCATCATCTCCTCCCAGGAGACCAGTGGGAGCTCGGCTGTTGAGAATGCAGCATGCTCAGTAGCGGCTGAATTTTCCCCATAGATTTGTGTGCTATATCCAAGCAGGAGATTGCCCATCAGCATTTATTTTAGAGTCGCTTGTGGGCTGCACAGACATAGCAAGTATTGGATCAAAAAATAATTATTAGCTTAAAATGGCCATCTCTATTAAAGCACTGAGACTTACTCATTCTTTTCCAACCTATGTTTTTCCATTTGCATTTCTGTCTGTTTACAAGAAAGTAATTAAATAAAAAATAAAAGCTCTTGAAATCATGCAAATATTTAGTAATACTTGTAGCTGAGGCAACTGATTTAAATAAGTGGAACAGAAATGCCCTGCAATATAACTTTTTATAAAGGACTGCATTAGCAATGGGTTGAATAAATTCTCACAGATGTGTCTCCTGCCAGCTGAAACTAGTTTAGGGAAAAGGTATTTCCAATAAGGCTGAGCATTTAGGGTCCCTATATACCTATATAGGAGAAAGTTTGTGGGGTCAAGCTTCATCTTTCCTCAGGTAATCAAGGACAAGAGGCGCCAAAGCAGGCCTGTGGAGGAGCTGGAACGAGTAGGACCTGAGCAGCTAACGACCACCATCCTCCAGTGCGGCCTGTGGAGGATGGAAGGAAACAGGACGTCCACAGCACTGAGCAGCGTCAGAACTCGGCTGTCATCTCTCCCATCCCTGGTCGGACAATGCTCAGACCGTAACTTTAACCAAAAATTTGATGCCAGCAACCTCGATACTATCATTGTTAAGAGTTTAGAGAAAAGAAAAAGAAAAAAAAAAAAAGAGGGTGTTAAATTGCAAATTTAAATACAGATTAAGAGTGCACAAAAAGGAAAACATACACAATGGATTCCCAAGTCAGACTTGCTTACCCACTCCAAGTTCTCTCTTTGAAAGAATCAGGGAGCGTAGGCTAAACGTGCCAGACTGCAACACGGGTGCCTTGGGAGAAGACTGCTTGTGTCAAACTGTTTAAGGTGCAGCTCCATTCATTGACTATGCATCTTTGCAAGATTTTCAATCCAGACTTTACTCCGAATGGATGAAACTGGTCTCTTAGAACCTACCCACTGTCATGCTTTGATGTTAAAAAAACCACGCGACACAACAGACAGCAACCCCAGGCTGTCCTCCTTTTCTGCTTAAGGACTCCGCTGTTAAAGCCTGCGGGACACAAACTAAACAGTACTGTTGCTTTAAGTCTCGTGTTCATTCCTGATGAAATTGGATGCAAAATGTATTTTCCTGTCACTCCCTAAAGGTTAGGAAATACTGCCCAAGCAATTTAGGCCCGATAAAACGACAACAGGTTCAAAAGTCAGACGGTTCAGTTTTTCCCCTACAAAACTGTATCACATTTTAATCGTAAAATGTCGGCATGCTGCGGTTTGGTTGCAAGCTGAGGTGGAAAGGAACCTCTGAAGATGTGCACCAGCCCAATTCACTTATGATATTAGCAGATCTGGTCAAGATAAAATCTAGCAGGAAAAATACATTGAAGTCAGATGAAAGGAAAAGTTTAAAATTACCATTCTTTGACAATGAAAGGGAAAAAGTGAGTCACATTGGCCTCTATCTACCATAGCAGCCACTTTAGGAGTTAATTGGAAATGACTGTTTACTATGTGGCCACATACTTGGCTCATTAATAGGCACTGACTTAATTTGGAAAGGATTTTTGGTGCCATTTTGTAATTAATATTTTTCTAAGACACCTATGATGCATCTTTGCATAAAAAACATTTGCTTAATTTTCTTCCTTTCAAACACAGCTCTTTACGTTCTCTTATGCAGTAACTTTCCTGTGCTCGCTGTAGAAACAGAAGTATACGTTTCAGCCAAGAAGAGCTGAATAATAAGACATAGGAAGAGATCCTTTTCCCTCCTGATTTTCTACTTCTCACATCCGAGCGGAGCAATGGGACTTGACAGCTCTGAGCTCAAACTTAATTCATCATTAGGAAATTATTCAAAAAGCTATAACGAGATAACTAATTTAATACACTTTGCTTCGAGGTTTATTCCTTGGCTTATTTCCCAGATATAAAGCATCTCTGTGCAATTATCATGCAGATGCTGCTGAAAAGACTTTAAATGGTTGCTGCTAATTTAACAAGAGAGATGTTGGCATTGGCAGAAGAAGTTAGAGGAAAACTGAAGTTGACTGAAAACTCAACTGATCCCTAAAAGGAACACGGTCAAGATACTACAGCTAAGTAACTCCTCACCGTTTGTTGGTAGCTAGAAGTCTCCGCCAGAATCCTTGTCGCCTCGTTAGGCCTGTACTGCAGAGTACCAAAGCAACACAGCCCAGTTTCAAATACATTTAAGAAGCATTCTGGTACAGAGCCTTAGATTAAGCTCCCACTGATTTTAGGGAAAGGTGGGTGTGTAGGTCCCTTTAGTGCTGAAGTTGAGCGTGCTTGTAGGCTTAGGCCTTTGTACGTTGACCAGGGGTTCGGAGGTGGGGATGCAACGGAAAAGCAATGATGGGACTAAAAGATGAAATTTGTCTAGGAAAGGGATACCAGGAAAGATAGTTTCACCGTGACAGGGTAACTGCGTTGCATCACGTGCCCCGAGAGGCTGCGAAATCTCCACCCTTGGAGATTGCTCCCTCCTGGGCAAGCCTATCCAACTTTGAAGTTAGCCGTGGGGTGAGCAGGGCTGGGAGCAGAGACCTCCAAGGCTCCTCTCCAGCCTGATCCATTCTCTAGCGATCCGACAGGACTGCGGAGTCGAAGCAGGGCTGGACTGCCCGCAGGAGGGTGGCAGCGTGCAGAGATGGGAAAGAGGAGTCGGTGTGAGGAGGGGAGCAACCTCAGTGCAGGAACTTTCCATCTCTTACACCAGAAATAACAGCGTGGGAGTCCCCAGAGACCTCCAAGGCTCCTCTCCAGCCTGATCCATTCTCTAGCGATCCGACAGGACTGCGGAGTCGAAGCAGGGCTGGACTGCCCGCAGGAGGGTGGCAGCGTGCAGAGATGGGAAAGAGGAGTCGGTGTGAGGAGGGGAGCAACCTCAGTGCAGGAACTTTCCATCTCTTACACCAGAAATAACAGCGTGGGAGTCCCACCACAACTTGCTAAAGCTTTTTTTTTTTTATTTTTCTTTTGAACTTTCCATCTCTTACACCAGAAATAACAGCGTGGGAGTCCCACCACAACTTGCTAAAGCTTTTTTTTTTTAATTTTTCCTTTTTAAATTTTTTTAAAGTGCAGTTACTATCACTTCTAAATAACTGTAAGTAAATGCTACCACGCACACACTGCAACGTAATTCATAACTCCAGTGAAATAAACAGTTTGGAGAAAGGAATATGCACTAAGTTGTGCAAAACAGCTAGCCAATGCCGAGGGAGAGAGGATGAGGAAGAGAGGGGAGGAGAGGTCTAACTGCTGAGATACTTACAGGACACATGGCTTTTTCCTTAGCTCTGTCATAGATTTCATTGTTGGCCTAGGGCAAGCCAGTTAAGAATCTGTGCCCTAGTTACGCAGTGGTGGAGGTTTGTTTCCCTTTCCTGTTCCGATTGTAAACTTCAGGCAAGGACTGTTTCTCCTTTATGTATTTATACGCATCCTCCTAATCCTAACTGGAATCCCTGAACACTACCAGGATAAAATAGTAATAATAAATAGGAGGGAGAATCCAAAGTGACCAGACAGAGAAGAGAGATGATCTGTGCAATTTAATACAAAACCCACCCTAACAAAGTGAGGTTCACCAATACCGAAAGGAAGACTGCTCCATACGTTCATAAACCACAAGACAGCGATGGGGGAAGAAGCAAGGCAGACTCTGAGCTAAAGCCATCAAGGGTCACTTTTTGGAGAACTCGGATATGGAGGAAAGACCATATTGATCATTTTGACAAAGTTCAAATAACTAGAAAGTAAAATTATTATGGTGCCGAAGACAATATTTCACACAGGAAACTAAGGCAACTGGAGATGCCTAACTTAAATGAGATTCCTTTTCTACAGGAGGAGCCTCAAGGCAATAAACTTTGAGTGTAATTCATGAAAAGGTGCTTGATTTGAGTTTTTTTCAGCTGCATTTAGTTGAAATTCCTCTGCTGCTCAACCCACAGCCCACCACAGTTACCGGAAAGACTCATTCACTGACTTTAGCCTGCTCTGGGTCACTGCACTTCACCCTGCGCTGCTTTGACTCTTACGAATCCCTTCAAGGACTGCAGACAGTAGCAAAGGCCTCGTTTAAAAGATCCAACATTGCTTTTTACAAGGCCTAATCCAAAACCGTAATTCTCATGGAATTTGAACAGTTTAGCGCCCAAAACTCTCTGCCCTCACAACGGCCTGTGTTTGAGCCCTCTGTAACGTGCTCTGCTGCCTGGACATCCCTGCCCCAGGACTGCGTGCCCTCAGCTTCCACTCGTACAGAGCCGTAGCTGACATCTAGCAGGTCTTGTTTTTACCATGGAAGCCACATATCTGGGTCCAAAATACTCTTACGTGAGAAAAAGCCCACTGCCCAAGTAACTGTTCATTTCAGAAGCTGTGTAGCAAATTAAAAGCCAGTAAACTACCTTTACAAAGGATTGCTTTCCTTATGGACATGTTACAATGCAGACCAGTCATGTCAAATGTGGTTCAATTTGAAGGTCACCAAGTTTTACAAGTTATTAAAGTAATTCACAAGTTATTCCAAGAAAAATAAATTATATCTTGTATAAAATAATCCACGGGAGACTCTAGTAAAGAACAATCATTCCTTGCTTTCAAGACAACTTTAAAAAGTGCAGTATCTGCACACAGTGTTGTCAAGGCAGTTCCCCTTGTTCATCAGTAAGGTTCAGTCAGATCCACAAAGCTGGGTCTGGGATGTTTGAGAAGGTTAAATAAGTCTGGAGTTTTGCAGGAACTGGATGAGCACTTGATAGACAAACTTGTACTGGGCTATGGTCTGGATCATAAACATTCTCTGCTCCCGCAGGTGTCTCAGCATCACAGGAACGTCCACTTTCTGTAAAGCAAAGAAACAAAAAGCATAAGGATGTAGGTTCATTAAATCAAACAATTGTTGTCCTAAATATCAGTTATCTGACACAGGGAACTGTACTGTAGTTATATAATGTAATGAATTATAACCAACTGTAGTGAAATACTACAATCTTTTTTCACCACCTTTCGTTTCAAGGAGTATTACGGTAGTATATACAGGTTACTGCGCATCCAATGCTTTCCCCACTAAAGCTTACGGGAATTTCTGGACTGATGTAAACGGGCAGATGACCAAAGACTTGTCTTCCAGTTGTGTACCACTGATTACCTCTCAGCGGATCATCAGCTGAACACATAATAAAGGGCTGCTTCTCTCTGGAGTTTTTTCTGTTTCACCATACCTATTTTCAACTCAGTAAAATAAACTCAATATGTCGTATTATCTCAGGTTAAAGGCTAGATATATCAGGAAGGTCCAGTACAAACTTAAACAGCCAAGATTATATAGCTCAGTTCAGACTCTACCACTGAGTGCATCAACAGGCCCTGTGGCCGCTTACATACTGCACTTTGATCCCTGGTCAAACTCATTCATAGAGGGAGGATCTGAGAGATTTTTCAAAAGGCAAGCAGGCATCAGGATCATTACAAAGGTTCCTTAGACAAAATTAAAGTGCAGGCAAATATACCGACCCTTCCACTAAAAGAGAAGGGAACTCACTGGCGCCGAAAGATCCAGAAACTCTGACACCTGACCTCCCACAGCCAAGTCTATGCTAGTAAGTAACGCTCCAGAAGAAATACATCTGTGAAGTGAAACGAGGACCCAGTATCCACACTATGTGTTGCAGACTTCAGACCAGCATTGGTCTGTTGCCAACTACTGAACGTCCACTAGCAGCTGGGACACATTAGGTGTCCTCCAAGAGGGCATCTTCCAGCTTAGCTTCGTCCAAAAGAAATTCACTCGCGTGCCCTGAAAATGCTCTGCAACAGGAACTAAAGCACAGTAAGTGGGGATGGATCAGGAGATCCACTGTGAAAGAACATCCCTAACCCCATGGAGCACACTGGGGCACAGGCACCCTATAATGGTAGGCCCACGAGGTAAAGCGTTAGAAATCACTGCAAATTTCATTAGGTGTTACCATCGTATCTCCAGCATTTAGGGAGCAAACAACCTATGATGTTACTGTGCTTTATCTGTTACAACAGGTACACGAGGAGCTATTCAGAAGTCACTGTGCATTGAAGCTCAGCCTGCCAGGCTCAAATTCAAAGAGCATGTAATATGACCCAAGATGAGGGATGCAAATTTTCTATGGCAGCAGTAAGTACAAGCACTAAGATACAATGCTCCTTTTGAGGAAGCTCTTAAGCAGTTCAAGATATACAAATGAAGAACAGTTACTCTATCAGGCAACACAAACTGCACTTTGTAATGCCAGTTTGCCATTCCAGAAACAAAAAGGAACTTAGCAAGTCTTTTGGCTGAGATGAGAAATGTTACAAGCACGATGCCTGGACAAACAAACAGAGAAACAAATTAAGATTGCTGCTAACCCTTGGAGGCGCAACTGAGCACGGAGTCTGCTTCCATGCACACTGGAAGTTTTCTGGAAAGTTTAAAATAAAATCACGCTGCGTATCGATTTCTGTCCATATATATAAAACTCAGAATTCTCCATTCTGTGTAAACAAGCCCTAACTCATAGGCTGTCACTTTCTGAAAACAAGGCTAAATATTCTGCCACATAACCCAAGAAGCTGTTATAAAAGGACATCTCTAGAGAATCAACAAGCGTAAAGACTTGTGATGAGTAATGCCATATTATTTTCAAAGGGGTGCAAAGGAAAACGTAAGCTCTTTCCAGTTAACTCGGCTAACTCGGAGAAAGCCTCCCCGTGGACTCGGATGCTTACGAAAGCCACGCGGTCCTTGCTGAGCAGAGTCACGCGGAACCTGATCTCACCTGAACAACTGCAACAAAAACACAGGCCAGCTTCGACCCGCACAACCACGTTCCCCTCTCAGCAGTTCGGTGCTTGACAGCTCGTTGATTTTTACTGGGCACACAGTGATCCGTGCACCTCCTCAAAATGGATTAGGCTTTGACTTATCTCAGAAATGAAAGAAAAGCCCACCCTGCCTATTCAACCTCACTATTTGTAGTCAACTTAGCATTCTACTCCAGGTAAGCAGAATCTTCAAACTCACCTTCATCACAACGTACATGTCAAAAAAAGACACGTAATGCTTTGCTAAGGTGGTATTTGCAAAAAGAACAAAAATGCTACTCATTTCTGACTCCCAAACTAAAAGATCTCCCCTATGAAAACGCACTGCAGCTGCAATCACGAGTTAATGTCCCAGTGCCAAGTCCAAACTAGAAGTCGGTAGAGCAGGATCTCAGCTCCTTTCTTGTTCTACGTGTCTACAGCAGTGAGGATGTAATGATGTGACATATGACTTACTATATAGCAAGTTACTGAAACTATATCCCTGCAATGAGATACACAGCTTTAGACTCAACCAGCAATCACCCAGAAGCCACAATGACTGAAGCTGTATAGAATTTGATTAAACATGTTTTTTTACCTAAACCTCAAAATCAAGAGTTCTGGATTTAGTTCCAGCACTGCTGCAGACTTTCCAGGACGGTCTGTATCAGGATTTTCAACCTCCCTCCCCTTTTTTCCTTCACTGCTAAAATCTTAACACTAATACATCTACTTACTAGAACTTCTGAGGAAAATCAACCAATTCATAAGACTAAAGCATTTTAAGTAATAAGTCATTTTATTTCAGAAAAAACCCAAAATAAACCAGTAAAACTGCTGCATGAAGAGGAACCCTCTCTGTGCAGAACGCAGTATCTGTTACAAACTGAAAACATACTGCTTAACTAATAACAAAATGTTAAGATTTTTAATCTTCTTTTTAATTAGGTTTTAACAAACCAAAAATATTAACTTAGCACAATCTAGAGCAACGAAACCCTTAAGGAAAATTGTCTTTAATATTAATGATGATTTCCACCATTAATCAAGACAAAAGAATGCTTTAATCAAGGGACATCAGAGAAATCCCTTATTATTGAGC